CATCGTAGTCAACACCTTGAACTTGTCGAAAACCTTTTGCGACAATTCGTGCTTTGTAGATAGTAACACTACTATCAGTTTCCATCTTGCTCTTGAAGGTCCATTTATTCTAAATGGCTCACCGATCATCGGGTAAGTCAGTCAAATTCCATACTTTGTTCTCATACATGAATCCCATCTCATATTTCATGGCCTTAAGTCATTCGCGGAATCTGGGCTCATCATCGCTTCCTCATAGTTTGTAGGTTCGTCATGTTCTACTAACATGACTTTCAGAACATGATTACCATACCACTCTGATGCGGAACGTACTCTAGTTGACCTACGAAGTTCGTTAGTAACTTGATCTGAAGTTTCATGATCATCATCATTAACTTCCTCACTAATTGGTGTAGGCATCATTGGAACTGATTTCTGTGAGGAACTACTTTCCAATTCGGGAGAAGGTACAATTACCTCATCAAGTTCTACTTTCCTCCTACTCACTTCTTTCGAGAGAAACTCCCTCTCTAGAAAGGATTCACTCTTAGCAATAAAGATCTTGCCTTCGGATCTATGATAGAAGGTGTACCCAACAGTTTCTTTTGGGAATCCTATGAGGACGCACTTCTCCGATTTGGGTTTGAGCTTATTAGGCTGAAACTTTTTCACATAAGCATCGCAACCCCAAACTTTAAGAAACGACAACTTGGGTTTCTTGCTAAACCACAGTTCATACGGTGTCATCTCAATGGATTTTTAGACGGTGCCCTATTTAACATGAATGCAACTGTCTCTAATGCATAACCCCAAAACGATAGTGGTAAATTGGTAAGAGACATCATAGATCGCACTATATCTAATAAAGTACGGTTATGACGTTCGGACACACCATTACGTTGTGGTGTTCCAGGTGGCGTGAGTTGCGAAACTATTCGACATTGTTTCAACTGAAGGCCAAACTCGTAACTCAAATATTTTGTCTCCGCGATCAGATCGTAGAAACTTTATTTTCTTGTTACGATAATTCTCCACTTCACTATGAAATTCTTTGAACTTTTCAAACATTTCAGACTTGTGTTTCATTAAGTAAATATACTCATATCTGCCCAAATCATTTGTGAAGGTCAGAAAATAACGATATCCGACGTGAGCCTCAACACTCATCGGACCGCATACATCAGTATATATTATTTCCAATAAGTCAGTGGCTCACTCCATCGTTCTTTGAGAACGGATTCTTAGTTATCTTACCCATGAGGCATGGTTCGCAAGTATCAAATAATTCATAATCAAGTGATTCCAAAAATCTATCAGCATGGAGTTTCTTTATGCGCTTTACACCAATATGATCTAAACGACAGTGCCACATATAAGGTGCACTATCATTATTAACTTTGCATCTTTTGGTTTCAATATTATGAATATGTGTATCATTATGATCGAGATTCAATAAGTCTTGATTTAGATACATATTGAAAGTGGGAGCGATTAGCTAGAGTAGCTCCGTGCAGAGCATTATAGACATAGAAAATTGCAAAATACATATGGCTCTGAATGTGGCAGACCCGTTGACTAAACTTCTCTCACCGAACATTAAGCGTGCGGACCCTACGGGTTCAAGAACTATGTAGACATGACCGAGACTCATCTCCGGTCAATAACCAATAGCAGAACCTGGGTGCTCATATTGGTTCCTACATATTCTACGAAGTTCTTTATCGGTCAAACCGCATAACAACATATGTTGTTCCCTTTGTCATCGGTATGTTACTTGCCCGAGATTCGATCGTCGTTATCTCAATACCTAGTTCAATCTCATTACCGACAAGTCTATTTACTCATTCCATAATGCAACATCCTGTAACTAACTCATTAGTCGCATTGCTTGCAAGGCTTATAGTGATGTGCATTACCGAGAGGGCCCAGAGATACCTCTCCAACACACGGAGTGACTAATCCTAATCTCGATCTATGCCAACTCAACAAACACCATCGGAGACACCTGTAGAGAATCTTTATAGTCACCCAGTTACGTTGTGACGTTTGATAGCACACTAAGTGTTCCTCCGGTATTCGGGAGTTGCATAATCGCATAGTCATAGGAACATGTATACGTTATGAAGAAAGCAATAGCAGTAAACTAAACGATCATCGTGCTAAGCTAACAGATGGGTCAAGTCAATCACATCATTCTCTAATGATGTGATCCCGTTAATCAAATGAGAACTCTTTGTCCATGGCTAGGAAACTTAACCATCTTTGATTAACGAGCTAGTCAAGTAGATGCATACTAATGACACTCTATTTGTCTATGTATTCACACATGTACTAAGTTTCTGATTAATATAATTCTAACATGAATAATAAACATTGATCATGATATAAGGAAATATAAATAACAACTTTATTATTCCCTCTAAGGCTTATTTCCTTCAGCACCTCCTGTTGGCTGGTGGAAACTTAACACGAATGCGGCATTTAGGAGCACTGATGGACAAGCGTCTTCCGATTGGGTTGTCAGAGACCGGTTTGGCATAATAGCTCTGTCGGGCTGTTGGCGCCTCACGCCTTGTGCAGGTGCCGAGGAGGCAGAGGTTCTGGCCGTAAAGTACGGCCTGCAGGAGCTAGCCTCTAAATTCATAGGCAAAATCTTAGTGGATACTGACTGCGCTTCTAGTGAAGCTCGAGTCATCGAACAAATCGGCCTTGCACCATGCCATTTCTGACATTGAGCTTGTCATTTAGAACTTCAAGGAGACTGTGACCTCAATGATTAGAAGAACATGCAATAGTGTGGCACAGGAGTTGGCGGCCTACGCCCGAGTGCATGGCGACTATAGCATGCTTTCTAATGTTCCTATTGAGATCTTTCCCCTGGTTGCCAGGGATTGCAATAGCCGTTTGACCAGGTTGTAAGCCTAGGTGCTTTCGTGACTTGTCACAGTCTCTAAGGCTTCCAATACCCAGCAGGGCCACGAATAATTGTAAATTATTTTTGAAGTACACCAAAAGTTGTCTCAACAACCTTTCTAGCAGATTCTTGGCATGCTAAAAGTTAGATCTCTTGTTGCCTTGAGAACGTTGTATTGCCTTCAAAATGTGGCTCATGGGGTATAGATACCATCCGTGAGGTAGTACCCCATGTTGTACTTATGGTCATTGACAACATAGTTGCAAGGTGGAGCATCACCAGCGACAAGCCTTGCTAAATGAGGATATCTCTAGAGGACATTAAGGTGATTGTGACAGCGAAGTATGAATGCCAAATACACAAATCATGAACTGCATCAATAATGATGGTTGGATCATGGCAATGCCCTTTGTATTAACGTTTCCATGGCGCATGACAATTCTTCCATGTTCAGTGCATACAGTCAATGGATCCGAGCATACGTGGCCAACCTCTCGGTATCTTTATCAGTGGGTGCCCTCAAGTACACCAGTCGAAATATCTCGATCATGACTTTGGCGAATCTGTGCACACACTCGAGGATGAGATCTTCCCTCGATGCAGACATTGTCATCGATGGCATCAGTAGGACATCCATATGCAAGCATTTGCAAAGCCGTTGTAATCTTCAAGCATAGAGTTGCACTTGCTTCTCCTATGGCATTCCTTCTGAATTGAAACGAACGATGATGTTTCTCCGCGGCTCTTGTAATGGTGTTGATGAGCCGGTGCATCCGTAATCTCCGCTGAGAATATTTCGTGGGATATGTTTCATTCAGAGCAAAGTAATCCCTCACTAGATCATGACGACCCTGAAGGATGCGACCAGTCCGAGAACCATGCCTCGATCTCCTAAAATTCTCCTCTCGAATGATCGAGGTGGGCACCAACTCAAATCAACATCTTCTTCATCCTCCTCTAAACGCAAAATTGTCCAAGTACAAGTACAACTCCCATAACCTCTTCATCTACATATTGGAGTGTTTCATGATCAATTTTAGATAGTAATCAACAAACAGCAGAGAAAAAGTGGTTGGACGTAATTTGTCAAACATCTTGTGCGCGGGTAGGGTCGGAGACACGACGACCGACGATGAGCTCCAGCTATGGCCGAATGGCGGCAGAGGACCCCTGATATGTTGCCTAATAGTCCGCACTGTTCAAGAATTCAACTGATTAATCAGTTAACGGGCTAGTTAATCGCTATTCGTAGGATGGCCGAATCAAATAATACATATTCGTTACGTTAACTGCGTGTGAGGCCGAGTAATAAGTTGCCAGTCCAATTATTCGTTGCTATCCCATTAACTTCCAGGAAAACAAGGCTCAAGTTTTTGGCCCGTAACCCCTCCCAACCCCCTCTCACTCCTCAATAGCTATGATTCGGCCAAATTGTAACATATTCAGGTGTATTATACATAACCGAGAGCATGAGAGTATGGTATAGTACATAAAAATATAGATATATGTTGCTAGGTTACTATTTAATCTATCGATTAATGGTCGATCAATTAATTCAATTAATTTGCCGATTCACCGATTAATCGCTACTCCCAAGCCAGTCGAGCAGCTATCAGTTACCGATTTCCTTAACAATCCGCAGAGGCAATTCCAGGGCTGGAGCAACACACGCCACCGGAGGTCAACAAGGCTGTTCTGTTGGCGTCAGCCGGAATGGGCTCGCATGTCAATCTTCTACAACGTCTTTGATGTTCAGCGCTTCTGTTCCCGTCCAAATTGGACCTTGGTGGCAGCAAAACTGCTGACTTTAGCACTGTGTAGTTTCTTTTTTCTTGTTTGAAAATTCGCGCACTGGGGAGATGACTCCGACGCAAAGTCAGGAACTCACATCTTGCATCGATACATCCCCCATGTGCATGTTTGTTTTGTGGGAACTACTCCCTCTGTTCCGAATTACTTATCTTAGATTTGTCTAGATACGGAGGTATCTAGCACTAAAATAAGTCTAGATACATCTGTATCTAGACAAATTCAAGACAAGTAATTTAGAACGGAGGGAGTACTACATATGTAGGGTTTATCTTTCACAATGGAGAATACAAATAGGCTAGAGTGGTTGATTCAGTATCCAACGGCTGAACATGGCGAAGCATCTGTCAGGCTCGTACTCAGGCGCCGTGTGACCACCACCCTGAAAACCAAAACCAAAGGCCAATTTACAACCGATGGTCTACTAAACCGTGCATCCCACCGACACACGCAGAGAAGGTGGAGTAATTTGATTACCTTTACGGTCGCGAATGTCATGTTGTTGGAGTAAGTTATGGTGAATCTGCAAACCAGTGAAAAGAAAGCAGATGTACTGTCAGTGAGTGAAGTAAACAGAGCAAGTAACCAAAATGAAACGATGACGAACCCGGCAGACTGGCCATGGAGATGCCACGCCCTCCATTCGTCGACGATGGGGAAGCCAAGGGACCTCACCCACGCCTGCGTCCCCAGATGCGGCACCACCGAATCGTGGTCGCCGCTGCAATGGACACCAAACAAAATCCTATCAGAATTTCAGCTGGCTCGTATCCGTTTGATGATACATTTTGAGATAATAAAATCGTCCTTTATCGAAAAATCTTTCAGCTGGCTCACTCCAACAGATCCTAGTTTATTATGCAGTAGTAACAGGGCAAAAATGTGAGGACCTGTATACAAGCGCGCGGTAGCCGTTGGCTGTAACGTTGCAGTGATACTTGATGCTGCTCAGGATGTCTCTGGTGTAGGGGACGCCGCCATCTTGACACCTCACCCACTCGTCCACGGTGCCGTCCTTGATGCCGAGGGCATCTCGGGTGCGCTCGTCGTTCGCCCAGAAATACGACAGGTAGTGGGCGTAGTCCTGATCCAGCGGACCATCGGGCATGCATCATCGGGTTGGTGGCTTAGTGCAATGAACGGGGAACACATACAGGCTAGAGGCATACACGCATGATGCTGACTTACAATACAGTCAAGTGGAGGACGAACTGGCGGATGCTCCAGCCGTTTCCCCATTTTGATTCCAGCTGCTTCCTCGCTTAAGATCTTCCTGTCAGCACCAGCCGAATCGTCCATCTCCGCATGCGGTCCAGCAGATGAATAAACGCATTTGATCAACAAAATATGCGGCGACATAACTTCAGAGAGGAGCTGCAATTGGAGCACTGTCATATACTTGCTTCATATCTAAGGAGTAAAAGTTATCCTGGCTATCGGGTTCTTACACTATGGAAAGTACCCAGAGCTTTTGCACACAGCACGTTTGTAGGATTCTTGTAGTCTTGTCCTTGGCAATGCCCCAATATCGTCTGTATATGAAAGAAATTTATACTATTTGAGTACTATTTGTATCACAACAGTTCTGACATAAATGGTTGTATGAGCAGATTGACAAGAATAGTGGATACAGGTGAGGTTAATTACCTCATATAATTGATCTGATATTATACCGAATCCGTGAGCAAAAGGCACTTTGGAGCTTTCGTCGATCCTTTCACCTGTTGCCGGGTTACCTACTATATAGCCCTGATGGTGACGAAATGAACATAAACATGGCATCAGATATATTAACATCACACTCACAGTACCAAAAGGAGGTATATACTGCTAAGAAAAAGATATGCATATTACTGTGTGTCCTCGACACATGCTACGAAAATATTGGAGGCATGGGTTGCTGAGTAGAGATAATTTTTTGCAGAACAAACTATAGCTGATTGACATGGTGTGCTTATTAAAACTGCAAAAAGATAGATATGTTTAGGTTTAGCCATATAATTTTGAAGTTCTATATCGGCTAAAATGGTATATGTACGCCATTGACAATGATCCGGTTAGGCATAGTTATGAAGGTCCGTTGTCTATGCTTCGTCAATTAAAAGATGGCATACCAAATTAAAGGATGGATACTTTTTGTTGAGTTTTCTAGCATATTTTACCTTTACCAGTTAAAATGTCATGTACCTTAATCTAATATATTGATATATATGAATGTACATAGCAATGCAATGATTACAATATTTGTAATTTGAATTTTGTACTATATCTACGTTTCATGAACAGACGTGATGTGTGTGGGTTTACATGCTTCTTCCTAGGGGTGAAAACTAGGCAGAATTTTCCCGTCCATTCAGGAAAAAAAAACAGAGGATAAATCCGTAATCGGAAATGGAATTTACATTACAGAAGCAGAATGGATATTTTATAATGGAATGGAGATAGAATAGCGTTTTCTGGTGAAACTTCAAATAAAAAGAAAATTTTAGTAAACATATGTGGAGAAATTTCCGCTTATCGGCAAAGCCCATTTCATCCCAGCCCATATACACGTTGGGAACAACCGATTCCTATCCACACAAAAAATCCCCCATCCCACTAGTCTTGTGATCCTTGTCTCCCGACTACACACCTCCCACTCACATCCTATAGGCATGCTCGCTCATACGCATTTGAACAATTTTGTTATTTCGGGTGTATTTTTCTATATGGTTGTGGGGGTTTTATGTTTCGGTAACCTTTCATTTTCGTATAGGTGTCCGCAACAGGTTCGCTTTGTATTCCTTTTTGGCAATGTTTCTTCGTATTTGTTTACAAGATTTTCATTTGTGTTTTGCTTTCACTAAGAAAACAAATGCAATAACACTTGCTTCATACATTTCCGCTCAGTTTTCATACCTACCGCTTAGGCGTTTTGGGACTCCTAGGCGTTTAGAGTCCACCGGGAACATCAAAGATCTAGATTTGCCCCAAGAATTTGTAAAGATCGAAGATCCCCTGAAGATCTACCCTTGGCGGTTGAGCTCGTACATTGTGGCTGAAGCTTAACCAGAAGTAGGCTGGACCTTTTTAGTCGTGTTTGACTTGGTGTGCCAAACGTCTCCCACAAATATTAGAGTTAATCAAGGAATTTAACTTCACTTTTAATCAACATTGACTCCGAGCCCCTTTTGGTTATTTTTATGACTTACTCCTTTACTTTCGTAGTGGTGACCTTTTTCTTGCTAGTTGCCATATCATGTAGGTTGTCTCAGGTAGTTACACTTACATATTATTTATATATGCAATTCACTAAAATAGAAATAATGATTAAAACTTGCAATCTCCTATTCAACCACCCCCAGCCTAATCGACATCCTTCATCCTTTAATGATCCGGGAGAATGTGGAATCTTGGGAAGAAAGCACAATCAAGGAAGCAGGAAGCAGTTGCATCCGGTGCACCGGCAAATTAATACAAAATTTAGAAATTGTCAAAATATATAAGGATAATCTATGAAGTAGATATATTACGCATATACAATCTCACAAAAAATTAACAATCCAAAATTAAACATAGTTTAAAAACAAAAACAACAAATTCAACATTGTTTATGTTAACGGGCACATCACTCCACATATTCAAATGATATTTTTCTTTGCCATTCCTCTAGTGGTGTTGCTCCACTGAAGACAATATTATGTGGCATAACACTAAAGATAGTATTATGTGGCATAGCCGGTAGTGGGTGCTAGTACATGTGTTATCATCAACAAACACGTTTGTTGATTTATTGCTTCCTTTCATTGTACATATAGACAGTGAAGCCCCGAGACGCCTATGGAGATGATAGCAAGTGATATGCCACATACTGCATTTAGCATGCCGTCTATCTAAGAAACTATTTTCTCTAGTTGTGATCTAATTTTCTCGCTTAGTTTTTCAGAGAATACACACATAAATTTGCACACGAGAGAGATAAAAAAAGGCACAACTCGGAAATAAAAGATACTCTTGGAAACAAGCGCAACAACATCCCCATCCGTGACAGCAACACATGCTGTGAGGCGACACCATCCTCTTATTTGTTTCCTTTATGTCAACGTACTTATAAGGATGCACATGTGTTAGCTGCGCTTGGGTTGGACCCATAAGTGGATAAATCATTGGGATGTATATGTGTTGGGTGGTGACTTGGATGGGACCCATGATATAACCTAATGACCCTGACACATGGGACCTCGGGGTGGTTGCGATCCAGATTGGCCTATACTATAACGACGCCCCATAAAACAAACACAATAATGAATGAAATCTTGTGACAAGAGTGGTGAGCCATCCTAAACTCACTAAAGAAATACCATAATAATTGTAATTGATGAATAGCAAAACCGATAACAATATATCAACTTCACGTACACATTTGTGATGCGTGTTTCACAACATGCAAGTTTTTAGCCATATGTATTATTCCGTAGTCTCTTGTGTAGAATTGTGAGGGTTACGGTAGGTACCTTGAGATTAAGAAGGGGGCTCCTTCCAACTTCATTACCTGTAGGGATGAAAGCATAAAGATGACGCCGTCCGTAAAAAAACATGAAGATAGATATGAACTCAGTTAATACACATTTAAAAAAAAAATAAGATAGCTCACCACATTTACCTTTGTGGTGAAATCAGTGAATTTAGTCGACTATAAACGCATGCTCAATGTTGGATACGTGGAAATATAGAGCAAGTGTCCGTACCTTGGGAAATCTTTTGTGCGATGAATGGTATAATTTTTCCAGCATACGAGTCTCCCCCGATATAGAGAGGACTTGATAGAAACTTGGGATGGTCCCTAAACCACTGGACAAGGTCACGTGGACCAGACAGTAAGGAAGATGCAGGCAATCAATGGGTGGCAACAAATCAAATCAAATCAAATCAAATCAGTTAGGTTAGGTAGTACCTTGATGAGGAACTCATGTAACTGCAGTGAGGTAGATATTTCCCCAACATGGTAACCTTTGGGTTGTCTGGAAAAGGAAAATCCTGCCCCGGCCGGCGAATCAACGAAGAGGATATGCGCAACCTGCAACGGTCAATACAGGAATGAGCATGAACATGTAATACGGCTAATTGGCTAGCTGCAGAGTGCAAAACATGACCGATTGACGACCTTGGTCCATGAGTTGGGATTGATTTCCAGGCTCGGTATGGTGCCATTGTAAGGCTCTACGACGAACTTGAATGGACCTGCAGTTGCGGTTGACATGTGTATGCATCTCATGTATGATATCACGGAGTAGAGAGTAACGGCGAGTCATCGCTTGAGAACGGAAACAAAATGTACCGATCTCGAACGCGAGGCCGCTGAGTACGGAGCAGTGGTCGCCGCCGGTGAGCCAGAGGAGGAAAGGGTCATTCTCGCCGCCGGCCTCGGACTCCACGAAGTAGTAGAACAGCTCGGTGCCGTTCTCCTCGTCCACCTCCACGTACCTTAAGTCGAGAAGCCAATTAATGGAGTCGATCAAGGTGATCCGCCTTGGTGCGTGGAGAAACCAAAATTAAGCTGAAGAAGAAGGCGAGAAATGGGTACCCGGTCTCGAGGTGGAAGGGGAGGCGGCCCTGGAACCCCGGGAGGCTGGTCACCACCGTGGAACTGGAGGCTGCGCCGGCGAGAGCGAGCTGCCTTGTGGCAAGTACGATGCAGAGGATCAGGCGGAGGAGCAGGAGCAGCCGCCCGCTCATTGTGGTGGTCAACCGCTTCCTTTTGCTCTGTTTTAGTTTTTAGTTCTTTGCGAGTTGCTCCGTTTTGTTGTTCTCTAGAAACAGGCTGAGACCTACTGCTTCAAAGCCTATATGCGCAAAATACGTGCCCTAAGGCAGCAGAAGAACAATCGTGAGCATGATCCACATGGGACTTTTTAAAATAATAATGTTTTCATTGTGTATTATACTCTGTTAACATGTCACCACTCACACAATTATGTCATATTAGATGGCTAATCCTTTTCTGACAGCTACTAGATGGCCAATCAACATAATATCATGTGTCAGGCGTGGCAAGTTGCCATGGAAAAAAGAAGGTTCTCTCGAGATAAGTCATCACGCGACCTGCAAAATAAAAATAAAAAAAGGAAATCATCAGGCACAACATGTACAATATCATAGACGACGACGAAGCAAATATGATTTTACGTGCCTTCAAAAAATATATTATATTATGTAACACCCCTCCTTAGAAATATAAGACATATTTTTTTGTCACTGATCAATTTTGATTTGCTAAAATAAATTTGAGGCATGCCATTGATCATCCGAGGACCAAGCAATCACACGAACACGACATCGAGATTTGTTAACGAGGTTCACCGATATGACTACATCCCCGGGCCTGACTACGGGCGCTCCTCCCCGTGACACCGTCACAATACCGCACACCGGCCACCCGAGCGCCGGCACACGCCGCCGACTCCCCCTTGCGTGTCTGTGCTATTATATTGGCATAGGTTACACCGTGTGTCTATACTCGCTATATAAAAGAGGCCTAGGATACAAGTGTCCTAATTAGACATGACTCCACATCCTATGTAAACACAATACAACTCATAGTCCAACTGTAACCTACCTTGTACACAATATTTGACACAACTCTAACAAACTCCACCTTGGCGAATATTCTCCACCACCTTGAATTCGTCCTTGTGTGAAACTTCTATGTGCATTGGACTTGAGTTTATCCCGTGAGTACCGCTGCTACTCCAAAGACTCCATGTGACTCCACCTGCAACTTGTAGTCCCTTCTTTTCTTGACCACTGTTAACACTCGAGCAAAATTAAGTTTTTCTTTACTCTAGTGTATGCTCCCAACTTTCAGAGCTCCGTTCAGCGCCATCACACACTGATCACTAACCTGCGTGAAAATGAATAACTCACATATTGGGTGTCACACATAAGAGTTACCTGAACTCAACATCACCGCTCCTTTCTTGACCGCCTGTCTGAAACTTTAAAGAATTCATCATTGCTTGTAGTCATCCTGAGTCAAATTCGCAGTTATCTCACCACATGTATGACCACCAGAGCCCTGGCCCGTCTCCATGTCCCGTGCATACTGCACGCCTCGCCGCTACTACCGCGTCGAGCCTCCGCTGTCCCAGTCGAGTCTCAAGGGCCGCGAACCCACACCACTCAACCCCCACTGCAGAGTACCACCGATCATCACCGACCGATGACGAGTTTCATGCTTCCATAAGACCACTGGGCTCCAGTCCAAACTGCATGTCACTCGCTTTTCTCTCTTATTGGATAGGCTTCGATTCCCTGGATCCTTACACCGTAGCCCCTCAATCCAGCTTCACCTTCAACATGACTCCATGGTAGATGATCAATTCACCCCCGCGCCCCGTCGACTTCAAGCTCCGTGTGTACATCACCTTCAATCAACCCCGCACCAAAGCCTTGTTGAAGCCACACAAGCCCTTGGGCCTGCGCCACGTGTTTCCACGTTCAGAAGTCGGTCACCATCAACATCACGCTCCTATGTCGTCGTCGCTGAAATCACCGCCGTCTTCTGTACCGACCGACTCAAGTCGATCCATCAGACTGTCCAGTCCAACCCAGCCGAACTCGTTCGACTGTACGACACACTCGAGGCTCCCAAATCGCCTTCGGTGAATCTCCATCCATCACATGATAATTCCATCTTAGCTGAATTGACTTCATGCAACACCTTCAAGCATCCCCATTGTGTCAACAAATCTTTCACCCTTGTCTGTCATAACCCAAGGTTTTCAGTTCCGTTAAACTTCTCCACCTCAAACCTGATTCCTGATGATGTCATAATTCTTCATATGACCGACACTATGAAAAATTAACCGAGCTTCCACTGCAATGCCACAAGTACACGAGCAAAATCTGAAGAGGTACACCCCCATGTACTAATAGCAAAATCCAACCAAACATGTTTGGCCTTCACGTGATGTACTTCAGTGCTCAACTCCTGATGCTAGTGCAACTGCCTTGTCAACGCCTTGCTAATTCGATGGATGCCAACGTGATGGATTTCTTTTCTTTCCCAATTGATCTGCTGCCTTGCAGCGTACCAGAGGACTCGGGTCCTCCTTTTTTCAAACAAATCTCGGACGTACGCAACGCACCTGAGCAGCCAGCCACGCGTACGTGCCTGGGCCTCGTCCTGGACACGCTGCCGGCTCAGACAGCCCCGCCTGGGCCAGCCCGCCAGCACACACAGACAGGCAAACACCTGTTGGGCCACGCAGCCATCTGCCGCTGCGCCTGCACGGTCGTAGCCACGTCTGCGTGGTCCGTCCGATCGCAAGTCCTGTTGTCGCACGTTACGCCGTCGCCGCTCGCAGGAGACGCTCGCCCGATCGATCGATCTCCGCACGTCTCACTTGCCGCTTGCACACGTCTGACCGCCGCACGCTCGCCCGATCGATCCTCTTGATCCATCGCTGCACGTCCTGCCTTGTCTGCCCACGAGCCGCCCACCGATCTGCTTTCTTCCGGTCTGGTCAAGAACCACGCCGACAGCCGGCTGCATCTTGGACTTGATCCTTCCTCTAAATCAACGATCCGCAGCTTTCGAATAACCTAGCTCATGATACCACTTGTTAGAATAAATTCGAGGCATATCGTTGATCATCCAAAGACCAAGCAATCACACGAGCACGACACCGAGATTTGTTAACGAGGTTCACCGATATGGCTATATTCCCGGGGCCTGACTACGGGCGCTCCTTCCCATGACACCGTCACAATACCGCACACCGGCCACCCGAGCGCCGACACATGCCACCCGGCTCCCCCTTGCGTGCCTGTGCTATTATGTTGGCATAGGTTACACCGTGTGTCTACACCCGCTATATAAGAGAGGCCTATGATACAAGTGTCCTAATTGGACACGACTCCACATCCTATGTAAACGCAATACAACTCATAGTCCAACTGTAACCTACCTTGTACACAATATTCAACACAACTCTAACAATTTGCTTCACACATCTGTTAAAGGGATTAGGACTCTCGCCCCGCTCCCGCGACGCGCCCGGCGCGCGCGTCTCGGGAGATCTAGATCGGACACCTGTGACTCCCGCCCGTCAACGTCCCCTTCCCCTCGCCGTCGCCGGAGTGCGCCCGCCGGGCGAAGCCCGTGCGGCGCGGGCGGTGGGGCACTCCCTCCTTCCTCTGGTCCTCATGGCGGCGGCGCGGCTCGGCTGTTTGGGGACAAGGGGCGCCTCGTCCGGCTGGTCTCCCGGAGGCGGGGACGGCTGGATCCGGCGGCGACTGGGCTAGAAGGAGCTGGCACGGTGCGGCGACACTGGTGGCGGGGTTTTGGTCGGGGTCGTCTTCGATCTCGATCGGGATCTCCATCGGGGGCGTCGCACGGCGGTGGCGTGGCCGGATTAGCGGTGACGTCACCGGTTCGGCGGTGGCATCACCGGTTCGGCAGAGGGCACCGCTCGGTTCCAGCCAACCGCGAGATCGGGAAGACGTGGCTTCCGGTGAAAATCGCGCCTGACTGCGGTCATGGCAGACGATGGTGGCATCTCGGACGTCGTTCTCTTCTCGAGACATCGTCATTGCAGGTGACGTCAACCTGATCAGAAGGTTCTGGGAAAACCCTAGATCTAGATCTACTAGATCGGACGATGGCGATGTTTTGATGTCGTTCTCCCTTCTGGGGGCATCGTTTTGGAGCAAGTGTTGGCTGGAGGGGACAAGAAGAGGAGCAGCGTGGTATCTGACACGTCGACAACGGCGGGTCTCAGCGGCATGGAGCAGCGGGGTCTCGCCAATGGACGTGTGATGATGGACGAGCGCAGGATGGTGGCGTTGTCTGGCGTCGTGGTGGCGTCGACGACAGCTAGACCGGGCAAGGTACATGTAGCAGTACAACACTAAAGATGAATCGGTGGCACGTGGCTGCGGCGGCCTCTTACCCGGCAAGCGTCCAGGTTGAGGAGTGCGCCAAACTGGTGGATGCTCCATACCCGGCAGGCGTCCTGGTTGGGATCTCAAGCCTTAGATGTTAGGTTTGGCTGCGAGGTATGTTTGGTATTAGGCCCAGATTATCAGCATCCTTTCATCAACTGGATAGAAGTAGCGACAGATGTTGCCTAGACGGTGACTTTAGTCTTACTTTTATATGAATTTGTAAGGTCTTGTATGAATAATTAATAAATTGGCTGCATGCATCGTCCAAAAGTAGAGACCGAGGGTCCTCCTTCATTTCTACAAAAAACACATTTGTTAAAAAATATTACTCCCTCTGGTCACTAACTTTGTATTAAACCATCGTCAATTAATATGTTGTTGAAAAATATTACTCCCTCTGGTCACTAACTTTATAGTAAACTATCGTCAATTAATATGTTGTTGAAAAATATTACTCCCTCTGATCACTAACTTTGTAGTAAACCATCAGAGGAAGTACAAAATTACAATCGTAAGAGATCACCTTCAATAAAAATCTAATGGGTTAATTTTTGCCAATAAACCACATATGATTATCCTTTGTAGAAAAGAAAATCTGCATACTACTATTAGTTTAATTGTTAGCTAGTACTTTGTTTGAAATTTCTAAAAGGCACTGAAAAACAAAGGAGCAGGGAAGAAAACTTCTTAATTGAATGTCACGAAACTTTTTTCCTAAAAGCCTCCAAGATAGGATTGGATTCCAGTAATTGATAATGGAACGGTCGGTTAAACAAAGCATTCATATG